TGGCCGTCCAATCAGAGTTAAGAAGAGACAAAAACACTACAGGGTTTGGTCACTGTGTGTGTGTCGTGTGTGTTTGTTGAAAGTCTCCAATGATCCGTTGAGGGTTAGTTTAGGTCGTGAGAAAGAGTGTCTTGGTTCTGTTGGATCCGAGTGCAGATTCTTTTCTAATCAGCAGATCCCTGCAGTGGCTCTCCCATTAATACTGGTGAGAAAACAATTTGACTACAGTTTTCTACTGGTGTCAAGTTCTTTTTAAATGGTGCAGTTTGGTGCAACATGACCTGTATGTTGTGTTGTTTACCTGTATGTGGTGTTGTTCAGGTGTTGTTTACCTGTATGTGGTGGTGCTGTTTACCTGTAGGTGGTGTTGTTCAAGTGCTGTTTACCTGTAGGTGGTGTTGTTCAGGTGCTGTTTACCTGTAGGTGTTGTTGTTCGGGCGTTGTTTACCTGTATGTGGTGTTGTTGTTCGGGCGTTGTTTACCTATATGTGGCGGTGTTGTTCGGGCGTTGTTTACCTGTATGTGGCGGTGTTGTTCGGGCGTTGTTTACCTGTATGTGGCGGTGTTGTTCAGGGTGTTGTTTACCTGTATGTGGCGGTGTTGTTCAGGGTGTTGTTTACCTGTATGTGGCGGTGTTGTTCAGGTGTTGTTTACCTGTAGGTGGTGGTGTTGTTCAGGGTGTTGTTTACCTGTAGGTGGTGGTGTTTTTCAGGGTGTTGTTTACCTGTAGGTGGTGGTGTTCAGGTGCTGTTTACCTGTAGGTGGTGGTGTTCAGGAGCTGTTTACCTGTAGGTGGTGTTGTTCAGGTGTTGTTTACCTGCAGGTGGCTGACGATGCAGAATGGTTCAGGTTGGTTCATTCCACAGGTGGAAGTGGATGACAGTTGGTGGGCTCGGCCAATCAGAAGGTCTCCTGTTGCTGGGTAACAGCTGCCCTCTGTGCACACGTCACTGAACTCCGGGAGGTTGAGATCATACTGGTCCCCCACATCCTGAGCGTAGATAAACACCTGCAGAACTGAGAGCAGAGGCTCTTATGAATGTCTTTATGCATGAATGCATAATGCGAGATTCATGGGCCAGAAAATGTCTTTATTTTTTTAATTGATGATTTTATTAGTCAGACTAACAGAAACAATTTAAACAGATACCTCAACATTAATACAAACACACTACTGATGATGACGACAACATGAAGCTGCATTCAGGCTCCATTATCTGAAGATTATTTTCTCCTCCGACCTGTAGAAAAGCTGCCCTTTATTAGGTGGTGATTTAATATAAGATAACCCTTTATTAGGTGGTGATTTAATATAAGATAATATAAGATCTCTTAATATAATATAATATCCCTTAATATAATATAAGATATCTTAAAATATGCCCCCCCCACACACACACATACATGTTCAAAGCTTTCTGATTGGCTGTTTGACATCAATGATGAGACCTAATTAAAGTTTGCATATGTTTAATATAATAAGTATTGACGATGAGGAACTAATGAAGTCCAGTTTAATCACATCTGTTCTTTAACATTTAACATGGAATAATAATAATAATCATCAATAATAATAAACATTCATATTCAGGGAGATATGTAGCCTTAGTCATGGGGGGGGGTCGTCTGTTCATTCTTCCTGTGTCGCTCAGTGACGTCATCAGTTACGTAGCGTCGCTTACAGACGGATCTCTGATCAGTGTTACTTTGTATTCTATGCTGATGTTTCTTTAGTAAAGATAACAGACTGATCTCTGATCAGATCTCTCTGATGAAACATTTCATTTAAACTCATCTGATGATACAAACTTTGATCTATTTTTAATTTATATTGGTTAGTTTATGACACATTTATTCTTATAAATTAATTATAAAGTGTTAAGGCTGATTGTTTTCTGAGACTTTCTCTCAACTTTTAACGTTTATTAGCTCATCGATTCATTTTACAATTATTTGATTTCAGCATTTAAATATTTCAGTATTTAAATATTGAAGCCTTTAAACATTGAACTCTTTCGGGCTCTAAACTTTTAACAGTTGAACTCACCGAGCAACACCGACAGCTGAAGCTCCAACATACTGCTGATCTCCGATCTGATCCTCAAGAGACACGAGAAGAACTGCAAGAACCTGGAAACCGGACAAAACTTCACACCTATCGCAACCTGCGAGTCTCTCCTCCTAAACTCTCCAGACTCTTAAACTCTCCGGACTTTTGAACACTTTAAACCCGCAGGACCGTCAGACCTAAACCCTGCAGACCTTCTCAGACCATCTCAGACCTCTCAGGACTCCGCCTCCTTATATCCACCGGTAACGACACCTCAGGACATATATCCGGGGGTGACTTTCAAAATAAAACTGAGTGAGATGTAACATGCCATGTTGAAATATTTGTCTATTCACTTAAATAGTCTGTGCAACAAGAAAAAAAATATCTGCAGTTAAAATAAGAGAAGAAAAACAAAAGAAAATAAAAAGTAAAGAGATACAATTGTAGTATTATGAATATGATGTCCTCTAAATTCTGCTTTATATGAATATATTCTGTATTATGTATATATTTTATACATCATGATCAAACTGTCTAACTCTCTCTCTCTTGTTCCTTCATCAACACTTCATGGCCCAAAGTATGTGGACACAAGTTGTAGTGTCTTAGTGGTCTCAGTCTCTTAGCTTGGTCTCAATAAAGAGAAAAAGAAATGCTAAAGAAGACAAATGGCCCACAGTTAGAATCACATGTTACACTATCACATATGTTCATAGTGTCAGAACCACATGTTACATTATCACATGTGTTCATAGAGTCAGAATCACATGTTACACTATCACATATGTTCATAGTGTCAGAATCACATGTTACATTGTCACATGTGTTCATAGAGTCAGAATCACATGTTACACTATCACATATGTTCATAGTGTCAGAATCACATGTTACATCATCACATGTGTTCATAGAGTCAGAATCACATGTTACACTATCACATG